TTAAGCTAGACACCTTCTCCCAAGCAGGGCGCAAAACACTTGCTTGTGGAAAATCAATCATTGGCTTCAAATCTTGTTCTTGCTCCGATTTAATATCTATACCTGGTTCCACTCCATCATCATCAACTCTTTTAGTCACTTTGACTTCAGCTTGATGACGTCTGTTTAGCTCAACCTCTCTTTTAACACTTACCGGAATTTGGCCTTTGTTGTTCCCAAACGTCATTTTGTCGAAGTTAACTACACACTTCCTCGGTAGTAAGTAGTCCAACCCTAATATGCATGGGTCTTCAATGTTAACAAAGTATACTTTGTGTCTGTCCTTCATACCCATGAGCTCAATAGTTACCCACACTGGTGTCCACAACCTTGCACAATGTCCTGTCACACCACAAAGCTTCTGTATGGCTTTTGGTAACCCTTTGTGATCTAGCACCTTGATACTCACAAGGGTTTGCCGAGATGCAGAATCTATAACAAAGTTGCACTTTTGGCCATCCAGCTTTCCTGTCACGTAAACACTATGTGTGCTTGGCAATTTACACCTAACTGTTGGGACTTTCACAATGGGGGTTGTTGGGCATTCCTCAACACCAACCACTACTGGTTTCCCCGAGGCTGACTTATTGGTAGTATTCTTCTTACACTGGCTTCTCATATGTCCTTGCTCTCCACAGTTCCAACAACCTTTCTGGGTAGCAGCCTTTCCTGCCGTGGCATCTTCCCTGTGTTGAATTTGCCGGCATTGAGCTCTCTTGTGCCCAGGTTTGTTACAGTGCCAGCAAAGTCCCTCAAACCTCTCTGAAAGCTGCCCTTGAATCCCGATGACTGTACCAACCTTGGTACCTCTGTGCTGGACTTAACATAGGATTCAAATTCAAGAGCTCTGGCCATTGCATCCTGCATAGTAGAGGGGGCGTAAAAATTCCTTCCGAGAAACTTCAGCGATACAAGTCCTTTCTTAATTAAAACTAGTTTATTCTTTCTCGTTACAAACTTTGTATTACACTTAATTTCCACAGTTTAAGTAAAGTGTGTGAATCGCTGTGAATTATAGCGTGTGTTTATAAAAGTAAAGTTTAAAGTTGGTGCATACTGCTCGCTTGACTCAATTACCTCTCTTCAATCTATCTCCGGCTTATATACTAAAAAAGAGGGCGTCTAGCAAACGCTGGGACATTCGTGAGGTTGCCCGCTAATTCACGATCCTTCTAGAAACTCCAGCGCGCATGCTCCCAGCGTCTTCCACTGTCGTAACAATGTTAAAAGAGAGAGAAAGGGAGCCCGTGTTGGCTCTCGACGTTCCTGTACATCATAATTGTTCACCTACTTGAGGTTGTGTAATAACTGCTCACCACCAGTAATTCGACAGATCCACTTGTAGTTGTGTAATTGCCTACACTGTTCCTCGAGGTAGTATACTGATACGTTTTTTTTTGTTTTTTTTCATTTTGGTCTTTTCGATCTTTTTATTAGTTATTCCAAAATCGCCGTCATTTCTCAAACATTTTTGTTGACACATGATTTAGCTTAACATTTCCAGAAGTTCCCAACAAGAACACGAAACTTATTTTTAAAGCATGCTTTAAGATGTATTCGATAAGCGTTAAGGAACATACCACAATCTGAATAACATTTTAACAGAAATAAATATTTATAATGAATATACATGGAAACGATTCCAAAAAGTTTAGAAGTAATACTATGTCACATTAGAGACAATGATAAAAGACAGGTTTTCACCACCCACCCCCAAACTTCCAAAGACAGACATCAACACGACAGCACTAAAAAGAACTATTGCTGGAACTACAGTATCGTCAAGCACGTGAGGACATTTGAACTTTCAGATCCTAACATTAACACTTACCGGCCGATGATGGTGTATTAACAAGAGGGCTTACTGATGCCATTTTGTCCTATCAGTTTTACTTCCATATAAAAAATTAAACTCTAATGTTTTAATAAGTATCACAATCCAGAGTTTATGCAAATTCCCATAGGCTTTGACGTACTATTGCGTTGGACTGATCGCTCTTAGGCGTTGTACAGCAAACAACGAATATAACACGGGTGTGTAACTCACGTGACCTGTCGTTTAATACTTAGTTAAGCTCCACCTCCCTTGCGAACGTTGGTATGTCAGTCAATCATAAACTCACTCGGCCAAACTAAGTTTAATTGATTGGTACGAGACTTCGATAGGCGGTAAAAAAAAACCATAAAATACAAGAAGAAACAATTAAACAGCGGGGATATCATCCGCTGGTTATCCAATGCCGACTCAGGTGCCCTATAGGCAAAGACAATTAGACCGATTTCAGTTATTATGTATTTAATTTTTGTAGTGGGTGACGGAAAGATTAGACTCTTAGTTCTATTTTATTTGTTACTATTAACTGCATGCCGTGTACTGCAATATTATTATAAAAAATACACCTGACTCTCCCAAGCACCCACCACCTTGATCTGAAACATGGTACTGAAATGGAACAAAGATGAATTCGTGTTTCTTCTTACTGTTATAGAAGATGGAAGATATTAGCTACACCTGGCATTCTTTGGAAAATTTTTCCAAACTTACATCATGATTACGCGATCGATAATTGCACGACTTTCTTTTTATAAAAACTTGTAATATATGGATAATATAAAACCATTGCAGAAACTGAGAAAAGTCGTCATAAATATTGAAAACTAGGCTTAACTAACCAATAAACATATTCTTCATTGGTAATGTGAAATCTGTTTATTAACAAGTGTGAGCTGTTTGTTTTGAATTTTTTTTTACCATTTTGAGATAGTACAAATATTTCTTACAAGAACATGGTAACAATCCCTTCACCCCTCCTTTCTCTATAAATGAAACTTTTAATACAATAATTGTAAATGAAATTTTTTGATGCAAGAGCAGTAAGATCAAGATAGAAGAGGTGCAATATGAGGTACCTGCTTTGTATTTATACGAGATGTTTGGGTTTCTCAAAATTTAATGACCAAATTTTCCATGTTGTGCATCTTCAATAGCAGATTTTACAGTACCTGTAAATTTGAATGTACAACATTCAACACGTACTGGTTTTTTTTATTCACATAGTTCCTCAATACATTTTTTAAAATTTAGTGTACTATTTCAAGCATTAGGAGCATAGGAAAGAGTTCCATATGGCACCCCCACCCAAAAATTGTAGAATTGCCTGGATAAAAAAGATTCTGAAAAGGGTTTATTTTAAGGGGCGTATTAGAAAAATTGGGGCATGGCTTTGACAAGCATGTGTGTGAATACATGTGGGGAACATTATATTCTGATAAAAGTAGCCTTTTTGATGCCTTTATACAAGACATTTATAAAGTTTATCCCCAAGAAGATTGTACATCTAATTAATGAAGTAAGTGGTATAATAATGTATTAAAATTATCAGATCATACTATTAATATGATTTATTAATACATAAATATTACTTTGATGAATTATTTTTAAATTGAGTGGGGGGTGCCATATGAAACTCTTACCGTAGCATATCTTTGCACAAGTTTGTACAGTTCTAATATTGAGAGGGTTTCCTTAATTTATGCCGTTGACTTTTTCAGATCCATTGGATCACTGGAGTCTGTAAGAAGCTGAGTTTGAAACGTTATTACATATTACTTATTTAGATACACTAAAACATTTAAAAACTAAGTTATATTTTTCCATACTTAATGGTGAGAATGGTAGGACTATGGGACACAAATACAAATTTTGGCAGGGTAGGAGTCATCTTCATCTAAGACAGTTTTATTTCTCTAAATGAGGTAGTTGGCTTTTTGGATGGATTGCCTTTAAATGTGGTGGATACAGTAAATGTTAAGGAAGGCTTGGGTAAGTATTTGAATGATAAGGGTTGGCTTTGGGTTGTTTTTCTTTTTTTTAAGTTTAATTTAGTGGATGGAATTGTCTAGATGGACCAAGAGTCCCCTTGTTGTCCTTAAATTTTGTTATGTTAAATTCTGAAGAAATCGGACTATCCTGAATTGAAAACCAAAGATGGACTCAGTAACGAATACAGCTGATTTAATATATGGTTCTTATGTTTTACAATAATTACGATGTATAGTTACATCAGCTGAATACCTTTACTGTAAGTAATGTTTTTGGACACAATTCATGCATATTTATGTTTTGTTTCAGTAGCTCAAAATCAATAAACCTTTACTACTTAGCTTTCATGAAAATATGATTTGTTCAGCCAACATCACTGATTTTTGTATTTATTAATAAAACCTAGACTGTTGGCTGTTTAGTAAGTTAAGAAGGCTTACAGAGTATAATGTTAGTCTCAATATTTTGTCTCCAAACCAAGGCTTTTTTTTTGGGGGGGGGGGCTACATAAACTTCAACTATGAGTCTTCAGTTGTTGATTAAAAACATGTGTAACAATGCTTGCAAAGTGTAATCTGTAACAGTTCAAGGTTCCATTTTTGATATATCTCGGACTAAACACCATAGTCACAAAAGTTTTCCATATTTGTCTTGATGTTAAAAGGGGGGAAAGGGTAGAGGGTTGGGAATGTTCATACAGAAAAATCTTTTAAATATTTATATAATTGTCAAAAGATAAATGTTATATTATGAATCTTCTTTATTTGTGGTGGAAAAAGAAAGAAAGAAAGCCAGAGATCACAGTTCTTTAAATCTGTGGAAGTATTACATCATCATGGGTGTGTGTTAACTTGTAACCCTGATGACCAGAGGGGAAAAGGTCAGGTCAAAACTCTGGTAAGAAGATCAAAAATGCTAAATTTTGCTACTAAAAAGTTAATAACTAAAGTTAGGGGTTCTCAAGCTCTTTTTTGCTACCCCTTCCCCCCTGAAAATATTTTGGGCTGTGCCAAACCCACCCACCCACATACAAAATTACCATAATATTTTTTTTATGATCCAGCAACACTCCTACAATAGCCTTACAACCTCCTTTTGGGTTGGAACCCCAGTTTGAGAAATGCTAAGTAAAATAATAAAAAAATTCTGCAACAAAGGGCCTATGGAGAAAAAATAAATAAATTACAATTTTTGATGTTAGTCTGTCTGATATAGTTCAATTATTTCGTCATTTATGTTTGCATTTACTATTACATATTAATAATTGATCCTAGACACAAGTAATTATAGATTTTTGATAATATTATGGGGTGGGGGGGGGGAGACACTGGACTGATGATACAACAGTGGATGAGAGAGTTAAGCTTATGACAATTGGGGGGAGGGGGGTGGACCCTGGACTGATGATACAACAGTGGGTCAGAGTTAAATTTATGATGATAGGAGAGCTTATATCTGAAATTAGCCAAAGTTTAATGATACAATACTTGTATTTCCCCCTTCTGGCTAAGATGAAGCCAAGAAAAATAAAGGTGAAATAAATTTTCAAATGCAATAACTAAAAATAAGACATTAATAAGTATATTCATAGAGGTTATTACATACATGTGTGCTTAATTCAATACCCCAGAAATAACAATGTTTAGGGACTTATTGATCTATCTAGGCTGTCCCATCCTTTAAACTAAAACTATTAAATAAAAACACCTTCAAAGCCAGCATTTATCATTCATATTGTTACGTCTCTGTTTGTTAATTAAC